TACTCTTCATCTGCTCTGCACTGGTCCACGATTGGAATTTCTCAAAAGTGAGGCTTTTTTCCACCTGAAAGGCCAGAATTAGACTTTCAGATTCAGACCCCAGTGCACACCCCAGCTGTCCCTCCTGGGGCCGCACCCCTCCTCTGCCAGGCAGTGGTGCTGCCTGTCACACACTGGGCTGCAGCTGCCTGGAACTGGGCAGGTCTCTGGCTTGTCCTGCACCCAGCTGCTCTGCTGCCACCCTGGGCCGACTTCCCAGGGTCAGAGATGGGGCTGTGCTCACCTCACCACCCCTGCTGGCCAGGGTCTCTGCCAGGGAGGCTGTGCTGTGTGGGCATTTGGGGTTTTTGAGCTTTTTGAGCTTTTTGGCTTGTTTGTTTGTTTGCTTGTTAGTTTTGGTTTTTTGAAGTAGGCTTAGTTGTGAAGAGTCTTTAAATTTAAGGCAAAATCTTACTGCGGTACAAGACACAATGCCGAGAATAATGAGACAAGTGTGTTCTTCATGAGGGGAGGATTTTCCATATTTTGAGGGTCAATGGCAATGTATCTTTAACTGTAATAAATTTTTTAATATAAAGATTTGTCATAGTTTTTGATCAGCCCACTACATTCCTGGTGGGGATGTAAAATTATACAGTAGCTTTGCCAAATCTGGTGGTAGATCTTCAAAGTTAAATACAGAGTTACTGTATGGCCCAGAAATTCCATTTGTAGGTTTATACTCAAGATAAGTAGAAGAAAACACATTGACATATAAAGTTATACGTGAGTAATTCAGAGCAGCATCATTCACCATAGACAAAAGACGAGAAACTCCCAAATGGGTGGCAATTGATGAAGAAACAAAATGGGCACATGAACACGTGATATTATTAGGAACATTCTTCCTTCATGAAAATCCGCAACTGATAAACGCTACCTGGAGCCATCAGGGACAGAGCCTGGACCGTTGGGTTAGCAGAAGAGAGCAAGCACTGAAGACCACACTGGATGATTCCATTCACGGAGGTGCTCACTGAAGACAAATACCTAGGCATGAAATGGGTCAGGGCTGGCCAGGCCTGGGGGCCAAGGGAGGAGCGTTAGTGCTGAAAATGTTCCAGAGGTAGGTAGTGGTGACAGTTGTTCAGCACTGAATAAGTAAAAGCCACCGAATGCTGTGCTTTAAAGGGATGAATGTTGTTCAATCAGGATTTTGATCTCTGAAATATATGAGTTCATTAAGTGATTACAGTGCTAGCAGAAGATAAAAGCACTGGTCTTGGGAGAAATTCCCCATGCCACAAGCAGCTGGCCAGGTTATTACTATGGCTGTGTTATTGTTGTTGTAGTTGTTGGTTTAGTGAGACAAGGTCCTGCTATGTATTCTATGCTGGCTTTGAACTCACTCTGTAGCCCAGGCAAGCCTGGAACTAATGGTGATCCTCCTGCCTCTGCCTCCCAGTGCTGGGATTACAGGCCTGTGCCACCACACCCAGCTTGAAAAATGTCATCTGGATCTAAGCAGCCAGGATTTTATGATGAAAATTGGGTGACTTGCATGACTGACATTGGCTGAGGATGAGTGGAAGGAAAAGGCATAGCTAGCCTCGGCCTGCATGGCCCATTAGGAGAAGATTTGCTGGTTGGTTTTCCAGGCATGGAAGGAGACGTGGCCCCATGGTTCATTTTCAATGAACTCCTTCCTCTTGGGGTCAGGGGTTGAGAGTCGGGATGGTTCTGAGGCGGGCTGGCTCCTAAGGGGGTCCCCAGAAGACCCTGGCTGGCCTCACCCCGAGTCCGGCCTCAGAAGAGGGCAGGGTTTGGGTAAATTTTCAACAGCACAGAGGAGCCCTTGGGAAAAGCCCCTGCTGCCCTGAAAACTCCCCAGCCTGTTTCCCCCGGATGTTGTCATGATATAGGGGAAGAGATGTAACTCCCAAACCTGCTGATGTCCAAAACTCGACTTCCTGTTCTCTAAAATCAAAGAATGAATTCTAGGAACAATGGAGGTTAAGAGTAGGAAAAATTATTGGGAGGAAGAAAGCTTCGGCCTGAGAGAGACAGAAGGGGGACCGGAAGGTGGGTTGCCCGCCCACCCCACTTTTCAAAGGTGTTTTATACAGCACAGCCATGTGGTGAGGCGGGTACAAAGTGGGATAGAACTATAAGACCCAATGGAAATGTACAAGGTGGGCATGAGGTGGGACAAAACCATGACCAACCAATGAGATTACAAGAACAGTCACCCAGGTGATATTGATTAAATGGCGGGCAAATGGGGGAGCAAGTCACACAGCAAGCATGCAAGGATTTTCAGTAAGGGGGCGTCAGGGATATTTCCTGGAGAGGCTGGGTTAAGCCCTTGGCCCCCAGCCAGGTGATTGATACCTGTTTAGAATATCAGTCACTGCTGTTCTTCCTACATGGGTGTGCTCATTTCTCTCCTTCTACAATGCTGGCCTTCAGGGAATGTGTCTTCACTCTCCTCCATGCTGGCTCCTCCTGGGCCGGCCCTGTCTAACTGCCTACAAGATTTCTAATTAACTCACCTGTCTGCAATACTCACCGACGCTTCCAGTGGGCTCCAGCGTGAGGATGGCACTCACTCACGGAGGGGGGACAGTGGGGTCCCGGGTGCCCCGGGGACTTGCTCTGGACCCGGGCCCTGCCCAGCGCCCACCACAGAGGACAAGGTCCATGTCCTGGCCAGGTCCCCTCAGCATCTGCCATTGGCCGGGAGAGCAGGATGCAGTCAGCACCGCAGCCAAGCCTGGGTCAGGGAAGGGCTGGGCTCCAAGGAGCAGGGACCTGGGTTCGGGAGTGGTCCTGGGGTGAGCTGATCGGTGGTGTCTGAGTGTGAGTGAGTGTGTGGGAGGCCGGAAGGAACCCTGGGCTCATCTGAAGGCTCCTTGGGGTAAAACAGACCTTCCTCCCAGATGAAGTCCGAGCTCCTCCAGCTCCTTTTGTTTCCTGGAATTAGGAAAGCCTGGTTCCTAGTTGTGTTCTCTCCTCTGCTGTTTGTTTTTTAATTTTTTTGGCAGGATATATACTGTGGAGTGAACCCAGGACCTTCCCACTGCGCTACAATCTCTGTTCCCCTTCTAATTCTTTTTTCTTTTTCATTTTGAGACAAGTTCTCTCTCAGTTGGCCAGGCTGGGATCCCAGTCACCATTGTCCTTCCCTTCCTCAGCCTCCCACGGGGCTAGAATAGCAGACACACCCACAGTCCCAGTTTCTGCACAGCGTCAGGGTCCTGAGATCGGCTTCCACTTTCCCAAATCATTCTCCGTGGAGCACTGGTTTCAGGTCGCCCTTATATGGTCAGTGACGCCTGTGACAGCCCCTTGGGCAGCCCGGAGGCAGGGACAGGAGGGCAGGGCGGCCCCGCCCTGCTGCAGCACCAGCCACAAAGGCCCCAGCTTCCTGGGCCAGCCACAAGCAGCTGCCAGCGTTCCGGCGACCTGGGTGGCTTCCAGGTTCCAGGCTCCGTGGGGCAGTGAGGTGGGAGCTGAGGCCTGGGCGGCTGGGGCAGGTCCGAGGGGGCTCAGAGCCCTGGGGAGGAGCAGGGCTGGGAGGGAACCTGAGAGGCCGGGCACCATCGCCCTGCAGTGCCCGCAGAGGGGGCAGTGGAGTGCAGGTGGCCTCCCTGGGGCTGGTCCCCACCCACCCGAGCATCTTCCCTCTGCAGCAGCCCCGCCTGGCCCACCAGTCCTTTCTGTGCTCTCAAACCCCAGTCTTCTGTCCACATCCCCTGACCCCTCACCACTGAAGCCCCCCTCTCCTTCACCCAGGGTGGAACCCTTCTGTCTCCTGAGCCTGCATCCCCTGTGGGGCAGGGTCCTTGTCCCCAGAGCTTCCAGGCTGAGCCCTGAGTCCTAAGAGAGGATGGGGCACAGCTGCAACAAGGGATGTGGCCAGGAACGGGGCCGGGGGCGGGGGGGGGGGCGTCCTGGGCTGCACTGTGATGCTGGGTGAGCTGGGAATCAGCCACAGCCAGGGCAGGGCCCTTCCTGGGGGACAGGGCGTGGCAGAGCTCAGAGGGGACTGTGAAGCGGACCAGGACTGCAGAGGTGGCACAGAGGCGGGGAGAGGAGGCAGAGCTGCCCGAGGTAGAGCAGTTCTATGGCTTTGAAATGCAAACCAAAGGCACAGCTTCCACATGGCCGTGGCCGGGAGCCAGCCGTGGTGCTCAGGCTGTGTTGCACGAAGCAGCCCTTTCTTCCCTCCTCTAGACCCGCACCATGAGCTCCCTGTCCGCAGCCAATGGCGCCTTTGCCTTCCGGCTTCTAAAGCTCCTGTGCCCGGATGACCCCGCAGACAACGTCTTCTTCTCTCCTGTGAGTGTCTCCTCAGTCATGGCCATGGTCCTGCTGGGAGCCAAGGGCGACACAGGGGCCCAGATTGCCCAGGTGAGCTGGCCGGCTCCAGGCTCCTTCAGTGAGGGGGGAGGGGTTGTTTTTTGCTCTGCTGGGTGTTTTTGTGGTAGTGGCAGGGCAGGGAAAACTCCCCCAAATAATAACTCAGAGAAGATTCAACATTTGGCCTAGCACTTAATTTAGAAAATGAAGCTGGGTCTAGAGTGTGGCCCAGGGGTAAGAGCCTGCCTAGTGTTTGATCCCCAGCACCCCAGTGGGGGGAAAGGGCAGGAGGAGGAAGGCAGTGGAGGGGAGGGAGGGGAAAGAAAAGATGCTAGACTTAGCGGAAAAATAAGTCCGGGAGATCTGTCTCTATTTGGAGCGCAAGACTTTGCAACACTCATTGTTCACTGGTGTAGAAAGCCATTTCCAGATACAGGTACCAACCTGCCTTGCCAGCTCAGCACAGGGACAAACAGAGCAGGGCACGGCAGGGTCAGACAGAAGCCTGGATCCCGCTGGGGACCCTAGAAGCTCTAGTGAGCGCAGTAGGCCACGTGCAGGGTGCATCTGAAATGATTCAGAACAGTCACTGTGCCCAGAGCTCGCAGGGTGGGGAGGGGACAAGAGCCTGCGGAAAGAGCCCCGAGGCCTGGGCGTTGTTACCGGTGCCTGTGCACAGAGCTTCGGGCAGGTGTGCTTCACGGGGTCATTTTGGCCTCAGTGCATTGGCATCTTCAGGGCCCCTTCAGCGGGGACTGCTCTTTCTAATCTTTCCACTCACGGTGGGAGGCACTGGAGCGTCATGCATGGAGACAACATGCTTTCTGGTGATGCTTTGTGATCCTCTAGGGTTTGAGCCCTGTGCAGGAGGCTTCACTGGGATACATAGCTAGATCTGGGCTCAGAAAAACAACCCTCCCCGATAGCAATGACAGCAACAATAACGAAAAACAAAATCCTTGGAAAGGATCATTTTATGGAATATTTGAGAAAAAAAAATTTTTTTTAAACTCTTTGTGAGCTCGGAAGACAATATTGACAGTGTGGCCTTGATTTCCTTCACAGGTGCTGGCTTTAAACCCCAAGGGGGACATTCATGGTGGCTTCCAGTCCCTTCTCACCCAAGTGAACAGGCCTGGTGCTCCGTTCTCCCTCAGCATCGCCAACAGGCTCTTTGCAGATAAGAACTGGAAATTCCTCCCAGTGAGTTGAGTCAGAAAAATGAAAATGGTTTAATGTAACATAGCTGGTGACATAGGGCCCAGGAAGAGGACGCTGGAGACCTTGAGGAACTGACAATTAACCATGTTTTATTTTCTTGTGTTTAGACTATAGCTCTATAAAATACCCTGCATGCTTTTATGTTTGACTCTTCCTAGAGCTCTTGCCTTCATCCCCAGTTATTCCAGACTCGGCACATACCTACTTACAAAATGGCCCTTGACATCTCATAGACTTTGTGATGTCTTCTAAGAGATTCCCATGCTCTTTTTAAGTTTCCAGAGAACAATGTGCTGCTCAGAATGCTCAGCAGCCCGCTGACATTCTCTGCAGCTCTGTATCCTCACCCGGCCCGTCTATCCCCACAGTCATGTACGGAGTCCTGTCTGAAGTTCTACCGTGCCGAGGTGGACCAGCTGCCCATTGCGGAAGATCCAGAGAAGTCCAGGAAGCACATCAACACTTGGGCATCCAAAAGGACTGAAGGTCAGCATGGGCAGCTACTTCCGGTCCTTCCCCCTTCCAGCCTCTCCTCCTCCTACCATCCTCCATGCTTCTTCCTCTGTGCTCCCTTCTCCTCCTCCCACTCCACCTGTTCTGCTCCATTCTCCCTCATCCTCCGCCTTCAGTCACTGGCATTTCCCATGGTCAGAGTGATGTTGACAGCCTGGACCTCATGTTGCATTTGAACCTTAGTGGGCTCACAGCTCTTCTGATCAGATGTTCAAGATTCAGTACCAGAGACTTCATTTTGTCTCTAGTAGAAGTGGGGCTGCTGTGGCTGGCAAAACATACTCATAGGCCAGATTTCAGTTTAACATTTACATCAGAACACACTGTCACTGGCTTGAAATGTCTACACGTCAGGGGACCCCTCCTCTCTGTGAGGAGGAGATGGGTGAACAGATAGACCCTCCCTCCATCACTTTCTCCTCACTGGGACAACAGGCCAAATGCCCATACCTTGAAGGGGGAGAGGTTCATTTTGCTCACAGTTTCAGAAGGTTCAGTTCATGGTTGGCTGAGTCCAGTACAGCAGGGGCCTGGTGGGAGGGCCTGCACTGGAGGACAGTGCTCCCCTCATGGTGTCCAGGAAGCATAGAGAAAAGAGAGGAGCTTAAGATAGCAACGACTATATCATGATGCATAGATCCCACTCCTAGCGATTCACTGCCAACCAGGCTCTACCTCCTAACAAGTCACCAATAGTGTCCCCGTGGTCCAGCCAACTTCCCAAAGCCCCACTTATGAACATGTGAGGGTTTGGAGGGATTTTCTAGCACTGAGCCATAGCACCCACGCACTTGGACCTCCTCTTTCGAGAGCATGTGGGGCCTCCACCCCCCTCTATCCCTGCTAAGGGGACTTCTGCTACCTTCTCTTCCATGTTGCCCACCTAAGCTCCCATGACGAGACTCCACAGCCTAGGCTTCATTGGTCTCCTGCAGGCCCATCCTCAGTGCTGATCATTCCACACTGAAAGCACCCTCTGCGTGGGCCTGATCTTTACTCATTTCCGGTGGACAGAGTGACACAGGCCACCCTTGGTCCCCAAGATCAGTGATGGGGGAACGTGTGAACCATTCAGACAGCAGGGCCACACGAGGAGATTTCCTATTTCTGCTAACAAGTGAGCCAGTGGCAAATGAGAAGTGTTTTCCCTTTAAGACTCAGCTGTAGATTCCCCCATTTCTTCCTGGAATCCTTACCCTTTTTATCCTCTCCAGGTGCAAATTAGCCAGGATGCTCTTAGTTCATGACAAGATTCCACTGGGTGTCCAGGGGAAGCGCAGCGCATCTAGGTCACCCCCGTGACCTTCTCCAGGGCTACCTGGTGCTCTGCCTAGAGGGTGCAGTAGGATCCTCCCTTCCCTGGGCTTCCAGAAACCCCTCCTGTGCCCATCACCCCCTTCCCACTCTGAGCCCCTGTTCTGGCTGCCTGTGTCCCATGGACTCATCGCTGCCCGCCCAGGGTTAGAGCAGGGTGTGGGCGGGGTGCCCGAGACCTCGCCCATTTAACCCCTGCGGGATCGCAGTCCCCGCCCATCTCTCATTTCCTGCTTCTCGCCTCCACCCTGTGCTTTCTTTCTCATAACCTGCTTTCCTTGAGTGACTCCACTCTGAGGAGTTGCTTTTTTGTCTTTTTAGTCCATAACAGTCCCAACTCAGCAATTGTGAAAAGATGTTTAAATTTTCCAGGTTGCTGTTCTATAGTTGGTTCATCACAGGTTTATAAGAAGACATTGAATGTCTCTGCTTTCTCAAAAGGCAAAATTCAGGAGTTGTTGGCAGAGGGCTCACTTGGTAAGGGGATCAGACTGATTCTGGTGAATGCTGTCTACTTCAAAGGAAGGTGGGACCAACAGTTTGAGGAGTCGTCCACAAGGACAATGCCTTTTAAAATAAACCAGGTACAGAGAAGCTTTAAACAAACTCATTTGAAAAAGAAATTGAATAGAAAAATTTAATGTTGTAAGGGCATAAGTGGTTAAAAATTCTTTGAAACAATATATCTCTAAGTTGATTTTTAAACTCAGTAGAAAAAAATTACAAGAGTAAAGAATATGGTCTGCTTCTCATTATTTGTATAAACTACTGCTCTTCCTGTATCACAATTTCTTCCACTTCAACTGCGACAAACTGAGTCTGGAAACTGAAGCTTTTCCTTGAGTACAAGTTGCATGGTAGAGGCAAAAAAAAAAAAAATGTGCTAAGGTATTGTGATGTATGCACAGGGTGATGGCTGGGCTAGAAAGAAAAACCGGAAAACACATTTCTTTAATCAAGGGGTTTTAAAATTAAAACAAGTAGTTAGTTGAATTATTGAGAGTTAACATACAAATTATTCCCTCAATATTTGCAAATTTCTAATATTAAAACAAAATGGTCAATACCTCGGTCCTGAGATTTTAACTTCAATTAATGCGGAGTTAAAATCATTTGCCAAATCCTCTAATCCCTTAAAACACAGAAAACTTATTAGGAATAAAACACTTAGGAAGTCCATACATGTTCAAATACCCCTCATTTGAAAATCGCGTGCCTTTGCATAACGATTCATTTATTTTCGGCATGGGATGTTGGGGGGATTTCAGAGCCAAACAATAGCACGTGGACAATTCAGAGCACCAGTTTATTCTGCCAGCGAAGACATCTTTCCCAGGCTGCTCTTGGATCTGCTTACGCGCCATGGCTTCCAGTGATGTGGGACCTGTGGTGCCGTCTTTCCCGGTGTCACCTGGCACAGACACTGTTTCCCTCACTGGTGCTGAGACACTCCCAGAGCATTGGGGATCTCCTTGCTCCCTGGAGACTGTGTGACAGCTGTGCTCATGTGCTCACCCCGGCAGAAGGAGCAGAGGCCGGTGCAGATGATGTACCAGGAAGCCAGGCTCCCCCTGGCCTATGTGAGGGAGTTGGGGACCCAGGTGCTGGAGCTGCCCTACACTGGCCGCGAGCTGAGCATGGTCATCGTGCTTCCCGTCGAAGGCGTGGACCTCAGCACGGTGAGACAGCGGGTCTGTGTGCGTGTGCGTGTGTCTGCTGTCCTGTCCAAGCATCCTGCGACATCTTCACATCCTTCCCGCCAGGACAGAAACCGGGCACACGGCTGCCCTTGGCATCGCCCTCTCCAGTGGGTGGTTCGGGCAGATCCAGCTTGGGGAGCGTTTGGCTTTGGGATCAGACTGTTGCCCAGGACCGGCTTCTCCCAGTCCTGCCACGGGACCACGCAGGACGGCGGGGCCTTGCCCCGGGCCATAACCCATCAGCCTGGGTCTTCTCACTCTAGAACAGGAAACATGATGATGTCGACCTGCTGGGGTTATTACTGCATTATTATTAAGAGGGGCAATCCAGGTAACAACGTCGCACATTGCCTGGCACATAGGATCCAGGCTGTACAGTGTGATCCATTATGATGGGGATCACTGCTAATTAGCTGTGCGTTTATAACAGGAAAATATTAACGGAGAGTGAGAGAAGCCTACACTGTGGCCTGCGCGGTGGGCAGTGCAGATCCCGTGCAGAGGGCAGGACCTGGGCGCCCTGGCAGAGGAGGGGTGCGGCCCCAGGAGGGACAGCTGGGGTGTGCACTGGGGTCTGAATCTGAAAGTCTAATTCTGGCCTTTCAGGTGGAAAAAAGCCTCACTTTTGAGAAATTCCAATCGTGGACCAGTGCAGAGCAGATGAAGAGTACGGAGGTTGAAGTTTTCCTGCCGAGGTTTAAACTGCAGGAGGACTATGACATGGGCTCTGTGCTGCAGCGCTTGGGCATGGTGCATGCCTTTGAGCAGGGCAGTGCAGACCTGACTGGGATGGTGGCTGACAGGGACCTGTGTCTGTCCAGGTTCGTGCACAGGAGTGTGGTGGAGGTCAACGAGGAAGGCACAGAGGCCGCGGCAGCGGCAGCTTGTGATGTTGTAGACAGTTTTCATGAGATGTCTGGGCCTGTGTTCCGCGCTGACCGCCCCTTCCTGTTCTTCATCAAGCACAACAAAACCAACAGCCTGCTCTTCTGTGGCAGGTTCTCCTCCCCTGAGGGGTGCACTTACTGAGCGTGCCAGCAGCTCCCTCTGTGTCCCCAAATCCCCAAACTCCATGCAGATGGCTCCCAGGAAAAATCCCAGTGCAGCCTAAGGGCAGACCCGAGATCCTGCTGTCGGCACAGGCTCACAGTGTGCTGTGCTCTGCGCTCTCACACTGCCCGCTCATCTGTGCCCCAACCAAGATAGGGGACAACAGACTGCCGTGTTGAGCGTAGGGCGCAGTCCCGATCCCAGAGCGCAGCCAGCAGTTTTCCTGGGTGGCCTCAAACATCTCTCACACTCATGTCTCACACTACTTATTGTGGTTACTGTGCGCTTCCTCGCACCCCAGATCTGATCACACCGCCTTAACTGACTTCCTAAATAGTAATACTTGCTGCTGGATGGTATTGTTCCTAGTGCAGTCTTCCTGGTGCTTGGAGTTTTAAAGAAATGTGCGTTTTTTTTTTTTTGGTACCAGGGATCGAACTCGGGTCCTTGCGCTTGTGCAGCAGGCAGCGAAACCACTGAGCTAAATCCCTGGCCCAGAAGTGTGCATTTTAATTTTATTTTTCTTTGACATTTCCCATTCACCAAGTCAGGGCAAAGCACTGAATGAGGCCCAGGGACAGAATCAAGCTTCTTCGACAGCTGCTCTTTAGCATCTGTGCCAACTTGCATACCTTTGGTGGCAACCTGATTGCACCATTGAACATCTTCATCTTGTAGAGGTGAAAATGTATTCATATGATTTTATTTCTCCTTCTCCAACTCAAGGAGATAAATTCCTTTCAGCCCCTAAAATTTATTTTAAATGTCATCTTTTTCAAGAAATTTTTGCTTTCTCCAGAACCAGATGTGCATCTTTGAACTCTCCTCACAGCTGTTCATGTTAGTAGGTTGATTTATAAATCTTCTGTGTTCTCAGGTGTCCCCCACCTTGACCTTGAAGTCCCAAAGGTTAAGATTCTACCTCACATATCTGTGTCACTTGTACTACAGAAATAAGTTATTGTTCCCATATACAAGCTCTAACTTGTTTAATGGTTTAGAATGTTATTGTTTAGACATCCACAGAACAAAGTTAGCCCTGTTAAGCAGTGCATTCAGCATGTTGTGTAACCACCACCTTATGTAGCTCCAGAAGTTTTCATTGCCCCAGAAGAAAACTACCCACTGAGAAGTGAATCCCTATTATGTCCTCCTTGCAGCCCTAGAAATCAGAAGTTTGCTTTCTCTCTATGGATTTACCTACTCTGAACATTTCATATAAATTGAAGCATATAATATGTGACCTTTTGTGCCTGGCCTCTTTTGTTTAGGGTAATGTTTTCTAGGTGCATTCATCACTGTAGCATGTATCTATACTTTCATCCTTTGATGGCTACATAGTATTCCATTACAGAAATATACCACACTTTCTTTATTCACTCATCCATCAGTGGGCACCTGGTCTCTTGGACTTGTCTCATTGTTTGTAAAACTGCTGCTCTTCATCTGCATGTACACGCATTTGCTCAGTTACATGTTCTCCATTGTTTGTATATGTACTCCAGTATGAAGGAATGGAATTATTGGGCCATAGAGTGATTATATTTAGCTTTGTGAGGCATGCCGAACTGTTTTCCACAGTGGCTGAACCATGTGACATTCCCACCAGCAATGTATGAGACTCCAACCTCCCTGTAGGTCCTTACCAGTGTTTGGCATTTTTCTTTTGTTTTTACAATTATGACCATCCTAATGGGTAGGAAGGGGCAGCACACAGTGTTTTCTGCTTTGCAGATCTCCATGGATACTGACTTTGAGCATCTCTGCACATACTCTTTGGCTTTAGCATTCTTCATTTGGCAAAATGTCTGTTCAGACCTTTGCCCATCTTTAAATTGGATTGTCTTTTTTTGTTGTGTTAAAAGAGTTCCTTACGTTTTCTGGTAATCTACCCCATCAGATACATCAGTTGCCAATATTTCCTCTCACCCTTTAACCTGCCTTTTCACTTTCTTAACAATGTCTCTGATCCACAATGCTTTTAATTGCAGAAAGTCTAGCATATCCAGCTTTGCTTTGTTGCTCATGTTACCCCCAAAGTTGAGTAGTCCACACAGGAAAAGCCTAAAACAATGATGGCCTTGCCCTGGCTACTCCAAAAGCTAACCAGTCTACACATGGCTAAAACTAAAAATCGTCATCGAGATACAACGACCACATATGTCTCTTTTCCTTTCTGTTACAATTCTCTTCTTACTTCAGTCAGAAAGGAATGTTTAAAAAGATGCTCCCATTACATTTACACCACGCATTCAAAAAACATTTTAACAAAAACCCTAGTACGGCTTGGCTTTAAACCGAGCCTAAAAAGGGTTTACAAAAAAATGAAATTACATACTTTAACTAGTTGATAAATATACTTTTAATTTCAAATTTGTGTTCACATTTTTGTTTAGTTGCTGTGCTTAAAACATTTCTGATACATTACAAATTCTTAAATTATAATCATAGGCTTAACTTGTTCTTTTTTTTTATTCTTTGTTAATTTAAGATAAAAACACTAACTCAAGATTACTTAAACATATGTTAACATCCAGT